TATAATTCCATGTGCAAACGTCAAAATTAACTTTTTGTCTAAAATCACCAAATGCAGTTTCTCTGCGTGGAAGAAGCCATTTACACTCTGGGTTGTATTATGACAAAAAATCCTTGGTTAGTGTTTCGGTTGAAACTAGAAATTTCGAAACAATAGTTTGTTGTATTTTCATTTATGGAAAAAATGCCTATCATACAATTTCATAGTATGGAAAAAATGCTTATCATACAATTTCATCTATAGAAAAAATGCTTATATTGCTATTTTCATACCTTTACTTTTGCTCCATGGAAATGTATGAAAGAGTATGATAAGCATTTTTTTCATATATGAAAATTGTATGATAAGCATTTTTTGTCAACCCGGGCAAACGCGTTTTTTCTCAGTTTTCCGGTTTCATGGTAACATAGTTCAAAGTAGTCTTTGCTAGTTCTTTACTGTTTTCACCAATAATTTTTTGTATAGAAAGTGGGGTGAAGTTTTGCTCCTGTGCCTTAAGTTGTGATGAGAGAGAGGAAATGTGATCGTATGTTGTAACTTCAAAATTATAATTAACTACGTAATTTCTCGTTACAATAAACTTTTTAATTTGTGCGACAAGAACATAGCCAACTGACAGTTAAAACAGCTGAATAAAAAAAACTTTCATCACTAAAATTACTGATTATAATGTTTACCGAAGCTAAAAAGTCTTTTTGGTGAAGCGAGTCTGGTTCAGAAGGTTAAGTTTTAAAAATGGATTTGCACGTGAGAAACTCAAATTATAGCTTTTTGTGGCATATCTTTTTTCTTAATTTAAAGAGTTATCTGAATTTTGAGGAATGATTGTGCAAACGAAACTCAAAAACTTTAAGCGTCACAGTGAGATGAAGATTTCTAATGTATTACTTACTAGACGAAATTAACATTTTACTTCGAGCAATTCGGCAGCTTTTTGCGGACAAAAAATGCAAATAACCACTTGAACTAAGTTGTTTTCTCTCTTCCTCCAGTTTAACGTCGCAAACTCATCATAATATAAGAAGGGTTGGCTCATTTTTCTTTTCTCCCCACCTGCTAATTTTTATAATGGAAGTTATTTGAAGTGCACTTTGTCCGATTGTCATGAAAACTGGCACGTAGACTAATTAGGCTATGACAAACATATTTGGTCTCCATAATTAACCTTGTAAGACCGCTCGTTAGATCATAAAATTCATGTTTGAGTGAGGTGGGTGGGGAAAGGAAAAAGAGCCGTAGGGTTATGTGACAAGCACTCTTCACTATGAAACTCCAGACAGTGTTCTGCTCAATTTCAAGTTCACGGCAAAAATTCAGTGGCGCTAATTTGCTCCTTTTGTCAGTTGGTGTTGATACTCAGTAGAAGGGCTGTTGTGAGTTTAACCGGGTTGAGTTCACATTGAAAATTAGCGATAAAAAAGTGAAAGAAAAACAGCGATCGCCATCGATGAATTATCGATGTTCATAGCCACAATAGCAAGTTTTATCGATAAATCTCGCTAATTTGGCTTATTTTCAGCGATGGAACAGCGATAAAAAAACCTATCAAAACGAAAAAATTATTGCTCTAACAGAGGTGCCATCCCCTAACCAATAGAGTTCTAGTCATGTTTGGTACATCTGCGCTATCAATCATTACGAACATTGAAGCTAAAGAGCTTATCACCAATAACTCTCAATTGAACGCTACTAGAATGAGTTAAAATTTCGTACGTTTTAGCTTTGATTTTCTACAGAATCATTACTGAAACAGCTCTGATAAAACGCAGGAAAATCGCTTTTTTTTCAATTTGAAGAACTTATGCTTGTGTATCGAAGCGGAATACAGACTTTTTTCGGGATAAAAACCTGTTTAACCAAATTAGTTGAATCTTTATGATGCTGCTATCAATTAATTTTCTCCTGACGATTTTTCGGCTTCACTGTTGTCGCCGTAAGCTCTGGTGGTTTAATTTCCAATTTCGTTAGTTCAATTTGCATGCACTACTTATATAGCTATTGTGGATCCTACATAGGCGTTACATGCACTTTTTTTCGGTTGTGGTTTTTCGACAAATTTTGTCGGCTGAGTTTCAGCTTGTTGGCTCTCGGCTTTAATTCTGTCGATTTATTTACTTAATTTTTCCTTTAAAATGTCCGGTAGTACTTTTGAGAGCCCTAGTCGATCAAGGGAGGTTATCTTGCAAGATCTTGCAAGAATCTTGCAAGATTCTTTTAAAGAGGATGCATCTCTTTAAAAGATCTTGCAAGATTCTTGCAAGATCTTGCAAGACAACCTCCTTTAAAGATAACCTTTTTTTTGCAAGATCTTTAAAGATACAATTTTTTTGGGCAAAAACAGCTTTACACGCGAAGACAACCAAGTAGCGTTCGTGGAAGAAGGAAGCAATCTTAGCTACGCTTACATACACACAGCCCGCTAGGCGGTTGCCCCCAGAAAGCTTCTTTTTTTAAAAACTTTTTTTTGTGATAGGCAGCTATTTTCAAATTTTGATCGACTACTTATACCTTTGTAGATTGCAAAGGAGTAATGAACGCAAGTAGACTCGAAGATTGCAAAGGAGTAATGAACGCAATTAAACCTTAAAAAATAACACTGACGTTGTTGAAAAATCTCAACTTTCAAAACTCAAAGAAAAAAATAGAAGCCCTTTAAGCTCTTTAAATTTCTAGAACAATTTATGATGGGCGCTTTTTTGATAACATGAAACCGACTTGAGAAAACTGGATCAATAAGTAAAGTTTTTATTCTCTGGAAATCTAAAAAATAAATTCCACTTTCAAAACTAGAAATCGATAGTCGAAAAAACTAAATATCCCCGGTTTGAACTAATTAAAGCAATTCGTCACAAAAAATTTTTGGCCAATAATCCTTCAATTTTCGCAAACCAGTAGCAGCAATAATTGCGAATAAATTAAAAAGATTTGATTGGTTGATACTTTTAATCTCATTGAATAAATTAACAACAGATATGCGACTACTTTTTAACGCATGATTTTTGTCTAATTTTATTCGTTAAGCATTTATTTGAAGTGATGCAAGTAAATTTTTGAGATCAATTCGAAAAAGTTTTGGATTCTCGTTCTAGAAACAATTTTTTTGATCTTACACCTAATTTCTGTTATTTTTTTTGTGTTTTTTGGACAGAAATTTTGGGATGGTTATCTTGCAAGATTCTTGCAAGATTCTTGCAAGATAGCCTCCCTCTTTCAAGATTCTTGCAAGATAACCTCCATCTTGCAAGATCTTGCAAGATAACCTCCATCTTGCAAGATCTTGCAAGATAACCCTCTTTTGCAAGAATCTTGCAAGATCTTGCAAGATAACCTCCCTTGATCGACTAGGGAGCGCTAAAACTCTGAAACTAATCTTTAAACTAATCTCTAAACGAATCTTTAAAATCTGCCCATAATCAACCCTACTAGGACCTCTCTGCAAAACCTAATGAACTTCGATACAAAAAAATATTTTGTTTTTGCTTTTCTTTTCGTTTCGTTTCGTTTTTAAATTTCCTCAGTCATCGTTTGAAATTCTCTCTGCTAATTTTTGAATGTGCTTTGATCGTATAATTGTTGTATTGCAGATGGCACAAAACTCAGCTTCGCCTCTGCCTGTACAATTGTTTTTAATGCTATATTCCCGCGCCGGAGTTCCATGGATAATAATCGATTATAATTGAAAAATATTGTCCAAAATGTTGTCAATATAATCCATTGGGCGGATGGGGGGGGGGGGGGGAATAAATTGAGGAAGGATAAACTGTGGAGTGGAGGGGGTGTAAATGATAAAGCCCCTCTCCCAAATCTACCAATAAATAACCCCCCATAAAAGGGGTAAATGGCGGTTCTGGTAAACTGACAGGGAGGGTAAACTGGGAGGTTAATGGGGGGGGGGTGTAAACAGGGAGGAAAGGGGGGGGGGGTAATTATTGGGAGGGGGGTAAACAGGGGGAGGGGTTAAACAGGGGGAGGGAGATAAACAGGGTGGGCGGGGGGTTGTAAACAGGAAAGAGGTAAACGGGAATGTAACATTTTATAAAACCTAATACGTAGCAATTGCACTAAACAGGAAATGCGATAACTTTGAAAAAAAAGTTGTATGTTTCATGACTAGCGTCTCAAAAAAATTCATTATAATTTATTATAATCGATTATAAGGAATTATGTTGGCATTAAAAAAAGAAACAATCCATTTTTAATGAATTATGATCGATTATAATGGATTATATTGATATTAAAAATGATGGTTTATAATCTATTTTTGATGGATTACAATCAATTATTTTTGCAATTTTATAGATACTGACTATAAAATGACAATATAATCGACTATTATCCATGGAATTCCAGTGCGGGTTTTTATGCATTCATTGTTGTTTCGCTAATACTAGTTTAAACGTTTTTTCGTTTAAACGTTTTTTCCGCCTCAAACGTTTTTTTCCGCACATCGATTCTTTACAGATTTTTTTCACCATCATCTTTATCTAGGTAGCAAAAAAATAGCAAGGCAAAAATGCACTTTCTTGTTTAACCGCATACAGTCACGGGACAAAGTATTTGCATTTTTTTGTTGACACCGAGCGAAGGAACACGTTTTTCTTTCAAATGTTTGTTGATTTCTCTGCAACAACTCAAGATTTAGAATTGACCTATATTAGATAAAACTATTTGGAAAAATCAATGAAACTAAACTCAATGAAATTAAACAATTGCAATCTTATAGGCAGTGACAGTTTAAACCTTTGCTGTCATTGTTTGCAAAACACTGCAAAACTTGAATTGAAAACGTAGATTTACTGATTTGAAATTAATTTTGCATATTGTGAAAACGGGGTTTTTGAAAAAAAACTATATTTTGGTTCTTGGTATATTATTCAAGTAGAGGAAAAGGTACATTTTGGATGTTTTCAAATTCAATTTGAAATTCAGAGCAGACTATTTTAGAGTCTATTACAAGTTTTTGGTCAAAGTTCAAACTTAGGAATGCTGTTTTGTTTTAGCCCTGAAGGCGCAAAGTGCAAAACCATATACGCTGACAATGGTGTTGAGTTGGGTAAGTACGATCAAAAACTTTCAGTTGTTTTGAAATTAATTTTTAAAAAACCGAAAAAATTCAAAAACTCAAAACAAGTATGAAGTCTTATCCAGAAATGGTTTTTGTCTCCCCAATTTAAATTTTCCGCAAGATTTTTGCACTGCAGACAAAAATTTTAAAAAAACAACGTTGATTGCTTTAGGAAAATGGAAAAAAAAACGCTTGTTAAAACATCTTAGCTGCCCTTTAGCTCCTCTCGAATAATCTTTTGCAGAGAAGTTTTGGATGAATTATTAACTGTTGGATTATTATATAGCCAAACGTTAAAAATTGAGCTATATAGGAAGCTAGAGTGATTATTTAGCTTGACTAATTTTATTCGTTCTTTATGCTGGAAAGTTTGTGCGGCAACTATTTTTTCTACAAAAAAAGTAGACTTTTACTTAACCAATCTCGACTAATTTTTGTACCCTCTTAAAAATACAATTTTTGAAATTCGAAGCTCCAAAAAATTTTATTTGAAACTCTTTGAGTTTAAGTCCGGGTTGGCTCAATCATAGAGTAATTCAGATAAGGTACACCGTCTGTCTGTTCGTCATGTTATCTTTTTTTCGGCCAAATAGATTCGTACAAATTCTTAGTCTAATACCAATGTTAACCTTACTCGTATATCTCCTAGTCTCAATAGATCTAGCGTATAGTGATATCTGCGGGTAAGTCCATCTGCAACTTGTTCTAAAGGAGATAAACTGTCTTCTAAGTTCTATTCAATTTGTTCTGGTCCTGAAACTACGAGTAGTTTTAGCAGCACGAATAATTGTCAGTGTTAGTAATGGATCATGATTGGTTAGTAGGAAATGTTTTATAGAGATGGTTTTATAAAGAATAGTTAATTAGTTATAATTGGTTCTATCAAGAAAAAACATTTGGAGATAGTCTATTGTTTATAAATGCATTATTTAACCTGGTTCCAACCACCCGGGGCTTAGATAAATTTTAGTTTTTAAAATTGTTTTTTTTTGTGAATGATAGATGTGGAGATTTCTTTGTTCTTAAGAGTATTTTTTTTGGAAGCAGTGACTGCGTGGAAGAGTGAGAGATGTAGTTATCTTCGTCGTAGAGAAAAGAAGGCCGTTTGTGTTCCGGAAGTGGTTCTCGTTTTATCCTAGATTGTTTTCAGTGATCATGTCAAGCTTTCTGATTGATGCAATGATTTGTCAACTTCGTTTAGCTTAGAGCGAGACTACGTGCAAGATGAAATTTGACCTTTCTGCGTGAAATGCTAAGTGACTAGGATCTCTATGTTAGGTCAACATCAAGTTGGTCATTGTTCTTCTTCAATGGGTTTCTTTGCTGCGATGTTGGGCCCATAATTCAAATCCTTCGCAGGTTGTGACTACGGAAATAAACCAATAGATTTGCCATTCTAAAGTCGCAATGTCGTCGAGTTTTCATCTCCTTTTGCTGTTCGTTCCGTTTGCTCTAAGAAATCTTTTGCATTGAAATTTACGTATAACTTGTAAGCGAGATCAATTTTAGTTATGATGTTTTTTCTAGTTCTTTTCGCAAAGTCTTTTTGTTTATTTTCAGTTATTTGTAAAGAGTCGGTCACCCTAGAACACCTCTCGTCAGAAAATGAGTGTGGGTCAAAAGAGTGGTACAGCTCGGTTGTTTAGGCCGGCTATATAGCATGCTCAGGACGTCCTACTGGGTGGTGAGGCCAGTGAGGGTGTATAGGTTTTCCGTCTCGTTTAGCAGAGTCTCTTTTTGTGTTTAATTTTTCGTTCTATTGTATAAGTGTTTTTCTTTTTTCTTTTTGGTTTTTTGTTTCAAAAATAGATTGTTGTGTTTTGGGTTTTTTTTTCGAATCTTTGATGTTTTATGTTTCAAAAAATTTCGAGTGTGAGTAATTTATCCAGCTTAGTTTCTTGTAATTTATTGGCATTCATTTCATTTACTACTAAAATTTTTGAAGTTTACTTTAAAATTATTACTTAACTGCACTGGTTATGAAGTTTACTGCGCTGGAAAAACTTAGTTTCATTTTCAGATCAAAAATTAAAAAAATAATGGCCTTTGTTTTGTTTCATCTATTAGTGAATAAATAAATAAAAACTAATAAAAAAATCATACTTACGAGCGCTCTCTTTCAGGGGAAAATCTAGGAGTGTAGTTAGCTTTTATCGTCTCGGATGTTACGAGAAGTTCGGCAAGCATGCAGATTACGTATTTAGTGCGAAGCAGATGCCATAGAAATTCGAGTGCTCTGATGATTTTTAGTTCTTCGGTAAGGCTTGAAACTCATGATTCGTGTTTTTGGATTAAATTATGAAGCTTGTGATTGAATTCTCTTTTGTGAACATGTTCAAGTAGGGTTATTTTATTGAGCTGGACATTTTGATTTGGAGTTATGATTTTGAGTTATGATTTGGCGAGCGTCATCAACCCGGAAGGTGTAGGTTAGTTGGCAAAATGTAGACAACTGCCGGAAGGGATCGTAATTACGAAGGATGTCGTGTAAGGTAGTAGATTTGAAACAATAGGTAAAAATTAAGAAATTTGGTGATGTGTTCTTTGGTTTATAAACATAAAACGATGTTGTGGCTTACGTGATTGTGTGTTTGTTTATAAAATTTTTGTGTAATTTTAAAAAATGCGTATAAATATTTCGTTCCGTCTTGAGCATGGTTTCGTGTGAACAATGAATGTTTCTCTCCTTCGGTGAAAAGAAATGAAATGTGAATGCAAAATGGTTAAATTTATTGACAATCGCTCATAGGCTTTCGTGTTTGTTGGTGAGCGAGCGACTATCAAATCAAACTTCTTCTTAGTGCTATCTAGGTGATACATGCATTCTGATTTAATGAAATTGTTTTTCTTTAAGTTGAAAATTAGTGTTTGGGTCGTCTTCGTGTCGGATACCTTGCATATATCTGGTTAATGCGTGATTGTAATGGTTATTGGAAAATCGATTAGAGCGTGGTGCGATGAATTTACTCGAGTACTGATTTGCACCAATAGTAGTGAATTGATTTTCGTTAAGAGCGGTAGTTATTTGGTGAATTAGGGAATGATAGAATTTGGGAATGACAGAGTTCGTTATCTTCGGGGTTGTTTTTCAAGGGAAGTTTCTGTGGATTATTAAAATTGTAGTAAATGATCCTGGAAAATGTGGGAGCCAGCTCATTTTCATCAGCGAAAAAGTTCAGTTGGTTGTCATCGTTTGATTGTTAGTATGTATACTGGCGGAGGAAAGGCAAGTTGTGGAATAAAACTTCTGTGGTCTTAGTGTTTGTGGATCAGAATATAGTCGGGTTGATCGTGGACGACTAAAGAGCAACTGAGGTTTAGCGTTAGAGTGATTTCCTAATAAATTTTTTTTTCCTCTTGTGGGTGCAATATATACTGACTTACTTCAGGGTTCGGATGTTGAGTGAGTCAGCTGATGATTTTTTAATGCGTTATTTGTGTCATGAAGGTGTTATTGTTGGGTTATAAAGTTATCTAAATCAAGCTCTATTTGGTTATAGTTCCTGGGGCTAAGTGCGTCGGGTTGATTAGTTGCTATTGGAGAAAAGATAGGGGTAGCATCGGTATTTGAAAAGGATGAAGGAGAGATTTCCTATGGGAATTGAGAAACAATTGGGTTGGAAAATTGGTAGGGATTCGTTTGTACGGAGAGGCTCGGAATCGAGGATTTCATCAAGGGTTTCTACATCAGAACTAATTAATTTAGATTTGGTGTTGAAAACTGTTTGGAAAGAATCGTCTGAGTCCATGCGTGGTGAATTAGAGGGATCACTGAGTAAGGGGGAAGAAGTGAGATCTGAGAGTGAAATGGTGGATGAGTGGCGTTGGATTTTTGATGGATCCAATCTGTCGGCTCATCGTGGGTTGAAAAGATGATTGCTTTGAGAACTAAAACTTTTTTGTGTGTGGTTTTTCTGCTAATTTTTCAATTGTGTTGTCGATGTTTGGTTGGTGGAGTCTTTTATGCTAGATTGGATTTCGTGGGAAACTTCTTCCTAAAGAGATATGTTTAGTAATTTCTAGTGTGTTCCTCTAGTTTCGTGGAACTAAAGATAAAGGGTGATTTTTATGTGGACTGTTTTGATGTGGTGGCGCCGTGGATTTTGAATTTGAATTGTTCTGTGTAGTGTCGAACGCGTCAGCTAGCTTTTTATTACACTCGCTAATCTGAGAGTCAAGGAGGATCTTATTAACTGAGGTGGAAAATATTCTTAAAAGTCTTGCAAATAAAATGCGTGCTACGCCTGCTTGTCTTTTAACTTGCGTGTATGTCTTACATAGGCTACAGGTTCCTTTAGAAGAGAAAAAAGATATTCAAGAAAAAAACAAGGCCTATATTATAGTCAATCTTTCTAATATATAGTATGGCCACCATCGAAAAGCTAGGAGCTCGTTTTTGAGATTAACAAAACTAAAAATATTAAGTAGTGAGATATCTTGGGGACGTTATTTTTACTGTTAAGGTATATATATATTTATATATATACTTCCACTAAATGCTTTTGTGTACAAGCGACAGTGGAGCTTTTGCGTTCCAATTTTTGATGCACAGAAGAAGCTATTTTTCGGCTCCTATAAAGTTCGTTCCGTTATCCGACCAAATTATTGAGGGTGTTCCTCGTCTAGAAATAAAGCACTCGATAGACATCACACCTGAGCTGGTGCCCATGGAACCAACTCGATGTGAATTGGGCGAGTCGTTAAGCAAGTAAAATAGAAAACCCCAGCGTTTCTCGGAAGATCGACGAATGATTACATGAAATGGTCCAAAAAAATTGACGCCGCAGTTCGAGAACGGTGGCTGGTGGTAACATAGACGCTCCAGGTCAGACATCATTGGAAAACGGTTTTCGCTTTTTGCTTTCTATAGCATAGGCAATGTGTTTCAATAACTCTTAGTGCAGATCTCAAGCGGTATACAACAAATTGTTGATGAATGACGGAACGAAGGTAGTCGACGGACTGATGTTCGTGCTTAATGTGATAAA